GACGGGGTTTCACCATGTTGACCAGGATGGTCTTGATCTCTTGACCTCGTGATCCACCCGCCTTGGCCTCCCAAAGTGCTGGGATTACAGGCTTGAGCCACCGCGCCCGGCCTGCATTGTTTTATATTTCTACCTGATTACTTTGTGTCTCTACGGAATCATATGTTTATTTACTTTTCTGTGAATGAATATTACAACAGTTAAAAAAATAAATTATAGATGGGTATTTCTCAATTGCATAAGTCCTTTTTTGTAAGTAGAGTGATCAGCTCAACTTTAATACTTGGCATTATTTTCATGTGTTTCTCAAACATCTTGGCAGGGCACCAACAATACCCACTATTTGTTGGTGCCCCTTTGTAAAAAGTTGTCCTTGGCTATATGGGGGTGCCTCACCAGGAAGACTGTGTTCATCCTTTATCTTTGTACCTCTCACCATTGGAAAAGACCACTTCTTATAAGGGATATAAGAAGCTGGCCTCTCCGCCTCAAAGTGGGATCAACTCTGTGGTACAGTTGGTGCTTTCCCATGGGATTTGGTGAAGCTGATCTCCAGTTGAGACCATATTCTTGCTTGACTTTTTTTCTCTGCCCTATGTTGCTTTTCTTAATACCTTTTTCCTAAGAGTGATCTGCGAAAATCAATTGAACAGGAACCACTGTCTCAGGCTCCAGTAGGAACACTACTTAAAACATTTTATAAAAAATAAAAATTGATTTTATAAACTTCTCCTTAAATGTGGTTTTCTTTCTATATTTCCAGTTTCTAATACATAATGTCATTTTATGACTCTTAATCCAGAAACCTGGAAGTCACCTTTGACCTCTGCTTGTTGCTGTATTTCAGTGATTCTCAAACTTTTTGGTCTCTGGATGTCTTTATACTCTTAAAAATTATCAAAAAGCCTTCATTTATGTGGGGTATATGTCTAAATATTGACCTTACTGGAATTTAAAACTGAAAAAAATAAACATTTCTTTTAAAGGCAATATAAACTAATTACATATGAATATAAAACATTTTTAGGAAAAATTCTTATATTCCTAAACAAATTTAGTCTGAACATTATCATTGTTTTATATTTTTTTCAGATCTCTTTAATATCTGGCTTAATAGAAGTCAGCTGGATTCTGATATTCGATTCTATATTCAGTCTGTTGCAATATTGCCAACCATGTAGCTTTTGGCAAACGCTGCTGGATCTCAGGAGAAAATGAGAGCAAAGAGTGGGAATAATGACTTACATTATTATGAAAATACTTTTAATGTTGCAGACTCAGTGAAAAAGTCTGTTCTTGGATCACACTTTGAGAAACATCACGTTTAACAATGTAGTTAATGACATGAACTTCAAATATTCATAACCTTGGTTAAAATCATAGGCAGAATTTTTCTCATGTCACTCAATTCAACTTTGATTTTAAAGAACTCGTACTAAGGAGTCATTTATTAACATAATCTGTTTCATAGCATATGCCCTAAGTATGACAATAATTCAGGCTTCCAATGATGGCAGTAATTGAGGTTCCTGGGTATTAATATATACAACTTTAGAGCATTATTAATAAAGACTTATTTTTTTCCTTGAAAGAAAATTCGAATGTGTCAGTGCTTTGTCTTTTGTTATCAGAAATTCTTAGTAAACAAACCACGTCAATCAAATTGAAGATTTAGTTCAAAGTTTTTCCATGATTTGTGTCATTGCAAGTGGATGGACAGCAAATCTGAGCTGTTTCTTGTTCTATGGAAAGATTGAAAGTACTCAAAGCTTAATGAGGACATAATTCTTCCAGCTTAATTCACACAGGCTAATAATTAAATTATGACCAACTCTTGAGAAAGCATAGATAAACTTTAGTCTCATCCATTTCTTCTTGCCTTGAAATACATCTTTACATATTTAAGGAAAAAAATCTATCGCATAAAAACTAAAGTTCCTATTAGTCCTGATTACTTTGTAATAGCAGTGATGCCAGAACTGCCATTAGAAGCAATTACTTTTATTTATTTTTTACATTGTCCTTATTTTTGCAAAGATGACATGTCATATGGATTAAGGCTTAGTTCATTTGCTATTTTATTTTTAGAATTCAATCATAAAACATTTATTGGGCTCCCAGTGTAGCTAGGTATGATGCTTGTACTGCTAGAGATAAGAAAACAATAGACGTTTATCTTTAACAGGCTTGCGTATTGTAGATTTTCTTCCTCTGATACATTTGTGATCATACAAGATGTATTTATGTAAATAAGTCCAGTTTTAAAAGTATGTATTTTTAAAATCATCTGTAGCTCTTTACAATTGGCAATAATAGCCTGAGTATGGTGGCTTATGCCTATAATCCCAGCATTTTGAGTGGCCGAGGTGGGCAGATCACCTGAACCCAGGAATTTGAGACCAACCTGGGCAACATAGTGAAACCCAGTCTCTACAAAAAGTACAAAATAGTAACCGGGCATGGTGGCATGTGCCTGTAATCCCAGCTACTTGGGAGGCTGAGGTGGGAGGATCCCCTGAGCCCAGGAGGTCAAGGCTGCAGTGAGCTATGAATGAACCACTGTAATCTAGCTTCGGTGGCAGAGTGACACCCTCTCCGGCCCTGCCCCCCTGAAAAAAATTGGCAAGCATCTGTATAAAAATGTGTAATGACATTTTTATTATGGATCATTGACTGGTAGTTGGTGGTGGGTGACACCACTTAACAGTTTATCAAATTGTCTTCTTTAATAATTTGTTTGAGCTTTATTTTCTTTTTTCTATAGCAGTGCTATCCAAGAAAACTTTTTATACTAACGGAAATGTTCTATATCTGCTGTTCAATGTAGTAGCCACTAGCTACATGTGACTACTGAGTGGTTCATATGTGGCTAGTATGACTGAGGAACTGAAGTTTTAATTTAATCTTAATAAATTAACATTTACATAGCTACATGTGACTAGTGTCTACTGAATGTGACAGTACAGTTCTGTAGTGTATTAACTATCAGAAAGTGGCAATAGTTGAATTACGTAGATAGTTACTCTCATTATTTTATTTATACAGGAACCTATTTTCAGAATTTTACTTATAGATACCTGTAGTGAAGACATTGAGTCTTCCTTAAGATTAAATTAGAATTGTTATTTTTTTCAAAGTTCTGTTAGAACTTTTTCCTATGACAAATTAATTTTTTTCCTTCTTCGTATGACAAATATTGCTATAAGGTGCATTGTAATGAATGAATCATTTTTATTCATCTGTGTTTTCATTTTTATCTTAAAGTTGTCAGTTATCGTATGTGTTGAATGGGCAAGGGGGCTGTTCAAGCTGATGAGGGAAGTAGGAGGTGGTAGGGATTAGCCATTGGGTGATGATTTTCTGCATATGTGCAAAGGAATAAGTAGAAAAAAAATGGAATCAGTAGAAGTTGAGATTTAAGTCCTTCCTTATTTGGAGGAGCATTTGGTAGAGCTACCACAAGACACTTGCAAAGATATGATTACTTAGCGCAAAGGATTAATGAAAACAGGTGCCAAGTAGGACTTATCCTAGAAAGTATCCAGTGTGAATTGTTTAGCAATCATGAAGGGAAGGTGATTGTAAAATTTTTTTCATGAATTAAAAAGCAAGTTAATGAGCACAACAACTGAGTGTGAATGTGAAAAATCATGCAGCAATTTTTGTAGTAACAATGTTTTCTAATCAGGATGCAATGAAATTATTGGATATTTTCAGGTATGTGTGGTATGTTTAGTACTCATAATTCAATCTGATGACATCAAATCTTTATTTTTAAGGGATTTACTCTTAATTGAGGGAATAAAATTGAACAATTTTTAGAGTCCATGGGTTCCTGGATTAGAAAGTTATAGTACAGACTTATTAGTAGAGGAATATTTCTAGTAGCCTGAAATCTAACTATTCTGTGTAAGGAAGGGGCTGTTGATTCTGTACCTTATACTTTCTCTATCACTCTCCACCTACCTATTTGAAGAGACTAGTTCTCTCTGACTGACCTTTTATTGATGCCCTTAAAATCTTTATTTCTATCTAGGGTGAGCCCATCACTTTCTGTGAGGAGAGTTTTGTAAAGCACCGCTCAAGCGTGATGAAACAGTTCCTGGAAACTGCAGTTAACCTGCAACTTTTTAAACAGGTAAGAGTGGACATCCACATTTTTCTTTTGTAACAGAACATTGTCAGTTTTACACATTTGTATTGCTATAAAACTGTACAACCCTGAGTAGCATCCTTTCTAGAATTTCAGGAAATTTTTCTTTCTTTTGTATCTATGTAGCTAGTTATGACAAAGCACTCTAGAAATATTATGTAATAACTTTGTTATTAAAACATTTCTCATCAAATGTTACTGAGCTTAATGTCTCATTGAGGAAGGATATACATTCACAGAAGAAGAGACTAGTTTTATTTATATAGGGCATCCTAGAAGAAGTTGTTTTTGTATGGTGGATCAATATGGTAAACAAACTATTTTTTATCGGAGTATTCCAATGTAATACAGTTTATAAAATAATTCATAAAATGAATATTTAACTTTTTAAGCTTTGTAAGACTTTTTAATACTCATAAATTCAGAATTAAAAATAAGACTCATAGTTATGCTGTTTGTCCTGATTTTTGGTTCAGAAAATATAATTGCTATTTCAAAAAAGCCGTAGCTTGACATCAGATTTCAGAAATTTTGGATGCACTGGTTCTGTCATCCCGTTGTATTATAATAGCAAGTCTCTTAAACTGGGTCGTCTTACTTAGTTTCTGTATACAAAATTTGAATTAAGTTCCTAACACTTGCTTTTCTTATTCCACATGACAATTTTAAGTGTAAAGTTTACTATGTGAATTAAGCATTTAATGTAGACCTACTGTGTGTCATAAACTGTGCTCAGGGCCAGGATACAAAAATGAATAAAAACTCAGTAATGCCCTTGAGAAGCTGACAATCTAACAGATTTTTTTGAATTGTTAGAAGCAAAGATATATAACTCAAAACAACCTTCAAATTAGGTTAGTAAAGAAATCAGCATGACAACAATTAATGTTACTACTTCTAAGGAAATTTTAAAAAATAATCTGAGATTAGAAAATACTCTGGAGTGGGGAAGATACCTGTCTTCCAGTAAGTGAAGTTTTATATTAAGGAAAGGGTTAAAGCTATCCTAAACACAAACCTAAGGGGCATGAATTTCAGGATCAGAGATGTCTTGTCAATTTCCAAAAAATGGGGTGGGCTGCTTTTGGAGCTTTTTCTCCCTAGAAGTCTCCAAGCATAGACTGAATTAATTCCCAGGGTTGAAAGGAAGATAAAGCGATAATGCTTTATAAATGCTGAAGTATAGCACAGTACAGTCCCAAGCTAGTCATGCAGTGCTTGCTTGTTGAGTAAAATATCGGTACCTTTTTGTATTTTTCTCTATCAAGAAGAGGCACTATCTTCCACTATCAAAACTGAGTTGTGAAGATTAAATTATATGAGGGTCAAGGATTGAATGGGTAGGTAGAATATCTAACTTACTTTCCTTTGATCATGATCTGCAGCTAGATCCTTACCATATTAAATGTTTTATTAAAAAGTTAATAAAACTGGTTTTTTTTTTTTTCATTGTTACAGAAGCATTTGCTTTTTAGGAGTCATGTATAGTTGGGTTACATCTTGACTATATTACAGAATATCTATTTTTCATTAGTATATATTTCTTTTTCTTTAAAATAGAAATATTACCACCTACCTCACAGGATTATAATAAGGTTTATGTCAAGGATTATAATAAGTTTTATGTGAATTAATACAAGTATACTCTCAGCACAGTACATGGTGCTTTGTTGATGCTCAGCAAATCTTAATGTCTGCCTCATTCTTAGAGAAATTACATTAATAAAATACATATCTGTGTAGGACCTTTAAAAAATACAATTTGGTCAAGAAGGTTAAATGTAAAATATGAAAATGGTCAACCAAAGAACTAATTATGTGGACAGTGTAGTTTTTCTTGCACAAATTGGCTGTCTTCTAGTACTTTTTAAACAGCTGTATACTCATCACTCTTAAAAAAGTGATACTTGAAGATAGTCCTGAAAGGATTGAAAAGATTCTTGTTGACAGAGTTTCACAAACTTCTAAAAGAAGAGTCAATTGGTAAAAAACTAACACAGATAAATCCTCAAAGACACTACTGATATGGCTGAAAAAAATATAAAAATATTTATTAGGTACAAAAAATTTATGACTATGGCTTTGTGATCCATTACAGCTCTAGAATTATTCAGGTTATCTCTTAGCCCAGCTTATACTTCAAATTTGAGAGGACTTTGACTCAGGAGAGCAGCATATAGTTTTAAGGAAAGAGTTAAAGTGAAGTTTTATCTCTGATAATATGGCAGGGTGGGATCCATAGATAACCTACATGCTACAATTTAAAACATAGTATTTAAAGAACTCCTTATGTCAAAGCCTAGTGCTCACTTTACAAGATAAGAAGTATAATAGGAGACCCAGTTCCCATAATGCTGAGAAGACTTAGTGTACAAGTAAACTAGAAATAAAGATGCTGCTTTTCTCAGTTTCCTGGAGATCTGTAGGGAAACTTACACATCCAAAGCATTAGTGCTGGGTAGGGGGAAGGGAAAAGTGCTGCTAAGAAGTAACCACGTGTCAGCCTGCACAGGAATTTGCAACGTGAATTCACACTTTCTGATTTTGTCTGACGAAACTCAAACCAAATTTAAAGTGATCCTAAATGTTAGTGCCCCTAGATCTCAAGAAGAAGCAAACTCTTGAGGAAATCACCTACAGCCAGGCATCAAAGAATTCTTTCAGCTAAAATCCAAAAGGAAATTTTACTGTTAAAAATGATTAAAAATACAAGAAAACAAATCATAAATGAAAGCTATCAGAAACAACAGACAAAATGACTTGAAAAGACTTTAAATATTGGAATTATCAGAAATAGAATATGAAATAGCCATGTTTTACAGGTTGAAAGAAGAAACAAGCTTTAAAGTGTTCAGAGAAGGAAAACTTAAAAGAGTGCAAAGCCAATTTCAAAAATGTAGCAAATAAACTTCTGTTAAGGAAGCATGTAATAATTGAAATTAAAGAAGTTGATGGGTGTAACTGCAGATCAGATCTAAATGAAGAGAGATTTGCTAAGCTGAAGATATATTTGAAAAAGAAGTTGTACAGAATATGGTATGGAAAGACAGAGAAATAGAAAATATAGGAAGTTGATAGACATAAAGGGTAGAGTAAGAATGTCTTAAAATTCATATCATCAGTTCTAATAGGTGAAGACAGAAGATGGAGCAGAGACAGTAGTTGAAAGCATACTGCCAGAACCAATGAAAATATACCACTTTATAAATTTATGAAGTCTTAACATCCAAATTGAATAAAGAAAAAAGAATCTATGCCCACACACAGTGTATATTCAGCTATGAAACATTAAAGAAAGGGGAATTTTTTTTTTTGACAACTGCAACAAATTTTTAAAAATAGGAGAGAAAAAAAGATACCTTCAAAGGAGCAACTTATTGACAACTTCACATCAGCAACAATGGAATCTAGAAGATACTGGCATGATATCTTCAATGTCTTGAGAAAAAATACCTGGAATTCTCTGCCAAACAAAGCACCTTTTAATTTTGAGTGACATGAGGACATTCACCAACAGAAACCAAGTTTCCCCCTCCCCACCCCAGCTTGTATTGGTTTTATTGATGTATCCACCTGGCTAGTCTATCATCCCCAATTATTCCATCAAACAATAATTTAGGTTTTGCTATGAAGGGATTTTACAGATAAAATTAAAACTCCTAATCATTTGACTATAAATGAAGAAGATTATTTTAGATAATTTGATTGATGGACCTATCTGAATCACTTGGAAAGCCTTAAAAACAGGACTAACCAGCCTGGGCAGCATGGTGAAACCCTGCTGCTACAAAAAAAATACAAAAATTAGCTGGATATGGTGGTGCACACCTGTAGTCCCAGCTACAGGGAGGCTAACATGGATCACCTGAGCCTAGGAGGTTGCAGCTGCAGTGAGCTGAGTGTGCCTGCCACTGCACTTAAGCTTGGGCAACAGAGTAAGAGCCTGTGTCAAAACAAACAAGCAAACAACAACAACAACAAAACAGGAATAAGATTTCCTTCAGAAAGAGAAGAATTCTACTTGTAGATGACTACTTGGGCCTTAGTTCAAGACTGCCCATGATTTTCCTTTACTGACAGCCTGTCCTGTGAATTTCAGACTTGCTTACAATCATGTAAGCCAATTCCTTCTCATAAATCTCATGTGTGTATGTGTATATATAGAATCTCCAACTGGGTTTTTCTTCTCTGGTTGAACCCCGAATGATACATCAACAGCAAAAAGAAATCCTTAGGCAAGTACCTCGGGGAGAAAATTTTCTCAAATGAAAGATCCAAGCTGGAAGGTCTGAGACACAAGAAGTAAGCAAGAGCAAAATAAGTGTTAAATATATGGATTAAATTGAAACAGTATTGACTGTGTAACACAGTCAAATTATTTCATATGTTTAAGAGTCAAATGTCTCCAATTCAAATTCCAGAAAGTTCTTGTTTTGAATATTGCAAAAGGGAAATGCTCCTTAATTTATTTTGTAAGGCTAACATCGTCTTGATTCAAAAGCCTAAGACAGTGTGAGAAGAGAGCATTATAGGCCAGTCTCACAGTCTCACATGAAAAAATTTAGATAAAATATTTGCAACTCATGCTAGCAATACGTAAAAAGGATACTACTTCATCATTAGTAGCATTTATCCCAGAAAGGAAATAGCAGTTGTACGTGAAAACCTGTCAATATAATTGAATATATTAACTGATTACGGGAGAAAGCTTATTAGATCATCTCAACAGGTGCCACAAATTTTATACAGTTAATAGCTATTCATGATGAAAACTAGAAAAAAAAAGCATGGTGAAAGAGATTTTCAGCAAACATCATACTGAATCTTCAAACACTAAAAATTTCCCTCT